ATAATGGAATACTACTCAGCCATAAAAAGAATGAAATAATGCCATTTGCAGCAACATGGATGAACCTAGAGATTATCATACTAAGTGAAGTCAGACAGAAAGACAAATACCATATGACACCACTTACACATGGAATCTAAAAAATGATACAAATGAACTTATTTACAAAACAGAAACATACTCACAGACATAGAAAACAAACTTATGGTTACCAAAGGGAAAGGAGGGCTATAAATTAGGAGTTTAGGATTAGCAGATATACACTGCTGTATATAAAGTAAACAACAAGGTCCTACCATATAGCACAAGGGACTATATTCAATACCCTGTAAAAACCTATAATAAAAGATAATATGAAAAGAATATATGTATATATGTATAACTGAATCACTGTGCTGTGCACCAGAAACTAACACAATATTGTAAGTCAACTCTATACGTCAATATAAATAAGTAAAATAGAAAATTAGTATCTTGTATGCTCAGTTTTCTCACCAAATGACTTGTCTAACCAAAATGGTTCCCAAGCCTGCTTATTTCAATTGTCTCTGATATTATAATTACATAATTAAATATTACAATGAAATATAAGTGTGCGGAAAGGCTTGCTGTTTCTATGAAAATGTAGTTGAACGTTTTAGAAAACCGTGATAAAGGCAAGATGCTAAAAATCTTGATGCTAAAAGTGAGGCAACTGTAAGAGAGAGAAAAATACTACAGTAAAAATCTTTGCTCTGTATGGTTCCATTCTTGTTCCAATTTTAAGTGAACAAAGCTAAAGATCACCAAATCATAGGTCTGACTGGCAAAGAAAAGTGACATTGAACTCCAATGGTTCTATATTCAGTGAAAAAAAGCCTTGGCCTTCCTCAAAATAGAGTAAGGAAGAATGTGCATGTTCTGGGGACTCCCCATTTCAACTGACTTTTTCAGTGAACTGACCAGCTCCTGGGCCCAGCTGTCATCAGGAGCCTCCCTCGGTTACAAAGGTGAGTGAGAATTCAGGAAAGAAGCGGGGAGAAAGGGTTGCTTACTGTACATTAAGGGATATGCTTAACAGGTGTTTTTACAGATTTACTCCTTACAACAACCCTACACAGTATCAGAATAGAGAGGTTAAATAAACTGCCAACTATCAAGTTACAGCATTTGGGTAGGAACTCAGTGGTCCTGAACTTCATCCTCAGAGCAGCCACTTCCATTGGTCTTACACGTACTAGGACTTGTCCCCTCAGACAGGTTCCACCCACATCCTCCGTCAGCCCTCCATCAATGATTCATCCTTGCCCTTCACCTCCCATATCTAATCAGTCACCAAACCCTGTCCAATGGACTCCTGTCAATATCTACTCAATTTGTCCCCACTGTCACCTTGCAGAGATCCACATCTTCTTCTGCATGGACGCCTGCAAGAATCAAGCTGCCACAATTTCTTAATAATCAGATCTGAGCAGCATCAGTCTTTGCTATATATCAGATTAACACTTGCTCTTTCTCCGTGTTGCCCCTCGCATACTGCCTGTTTCAGGGTGTGTTCCTGGTTCTCTCACCCGTCCTTCTCAGTGTCCCTCCTGACCTCTTTTCCTTTTACCAGCCTTTTGAATACTGACACTCCTTTTTATTCTGGCCTCTCCCCTAGCAGATCCTGTTTTTGCCGACAGTTTCAGTGGCATTCTCACACTGACGATCACTGAGTGTTTCAGCCATGGCCCTCGTGCTGTTTTGACAACTGTTTAGTGTTCCTGTCCACCGACTGGCCTATAAGCACCTCAGAGTCGAACAGGTGTGCCCAAAACTGCATTCTCACCTTCCACCTCCCTTCGGCCGACCTCAAGCCTACTTCTTCCCACATCCCTCAACGCTGTCCATCTCAAACACTGAAGTCATCCTTCACTTCTCCTCCGTCACAAGCTTCCACAACCCAGTCTTAAGTCCTGTGGATTCTTCACGTGCTCAAACTCCCCACGGCTGTCAGTCCTTTCAAGCCTGCCACCAGCTTTCTGTTTCTGCACCTGCTTCCTCTGTGTCTCCGAATCAGACCTCCCTGCTGCCGTCGGCATGAGCTCTCTGAGCCGTCTGTGCTTAGTCCGGGTGCCCCCAAGAGCAGCCCCTCAGTGGTAAAGCCACTGACACTGCACACAAGGTCTTCGAAGACCGAGATCTTTCCTACTTCTCCAGCTTCAAAATGTTGTAGCCCATAATCACTCTCTACTCCAGGAGTAATCAGCTATTGAGGGCTCTCCAAGCCAGGCACCTTCCCTCAGCCCCAACTCTGCACATGCCCCTTCTTCTGTCCAGAATCCTCTTCCCATCTACCTGGAAACTGCTGCTCGTCCTAAGATTCTTAGAGAAGCTTCTGTTGCCTTCCCTCCTTTCCCCTCCCCCTTTCCCCAACAAAGTTCTTCAGAAACATCAACATTTTTATAACCAAAGTATTTAACTGTACGTGACAATTACGTACTGGCTTGTAGAGTTGCCGGGGGGGGGCGGGGGAGGGGGACACGGACCAGGATGAAGGGAAAGCATCCTCGCAGCTCCCCAAGAACATTCCTCCTTCATTTTCAGGAAACTCCTTCCTCCTTTTAAGGGTCACCTGACATCCCAGACCTTAAGATCAGTCTTCCAAGTCCCTGACCTAGTCCCCAGGTCATGGTCATCTTTTCCATCCCAACTCCGGCCATCCTTCCAAAGTGTTAGTGGCCCCTCGGACAGTCCACACGATCCCCTAGAACACGCCCCAGTTCTCAGGTTCTTTTCTATGGTTGCTTCCCCTCTAAAGTCTTGGTCTCGCCCCCCGCCCCCAACTTCCTATTCTATCCATTACACACGTCGTACTCATTTAATTCTCTTCAATCTCCATCCTTCCCATTCACCTGATTTATCATTGCCTGACTGATCTGACTTCTCTTACAACTGAGCCCAAATCCCAGGGCCAGTCTCCAGCACTCGTGAATGGCTGTGCCCTTTAGACATTCCGACCTTACAAAGCCTGACCCTGGCACAGTCCACTTTTTCCATTCCACATTCTTGCCATCTGAGCACTGCTGAAGAAAAATCAAAACCTGGCACCCAGCCACTGCAACTGATGGTCTCCTATCTCAAGTGGGCTTCAAAGGCATCCCTTGATCTTTTTACTGGGCTTTGGGCAGATTCCCTCACTCAGTCTTCCTGGTGGTTCATACTAACAAAATGTGCGACATGATCTTGGGTAAACAGATTATCAAAACAATCTTGAAGGTACTGGATAAAGTATGAGAAGAAAAAAGGCTAAACACAGTAAGTGTAAATTAGCTCAAACGATATATGACCTTAGGTTCCAAGTCAGTTACTTTCATGACACTAGGAACACTGCTGTCTTGTCTCAATTCTTACAGATGTTTAGAGTTTGACAATCGAGGTGAAGAGTGAACCGCTGGGAGAAATGGCTGTGTTCAAATCCCTCATGTCCAAGGTACCCTTCAGACTTCTTATATTTTATCAATGAAACATACACAACTTCTGTTTCCATTTTCATTTATTCTGTGCAGTTTAGAGTGAAAGTTAAAACATCACACAAACCACAGAAGCTTTAGATATAGTGTTGACCAGTTTTAAAACAGTAACAGTGAATAATCATGTACATACATTCATCTCTAATTTTACATCTGGTTATAGAAAGGTACTGTTAACACACATAGTTCTAACTCCTTATAAACCTATTTGTCAAGCAGCGAGGTGACAAAATATCATAGCATAGCACAGAATGTTTCCTTTAAGAAACCAGAGCAGCAGTATTTGGTGAACGGTTATGCATAGAACTGACTTGGAGGGTAAACACTGGTCATAAAACAGGCAGCAGGTGTATAGTAACAAATGGAAAAGGTAATTTTTATTAATATAAGATAAAATGTTCTCTTTAGGCTTTAAGTTAAAAACTATAGAATACTTTAAATGTAGACAATACAAGGTGCTTTAATTCTAGACTCCATAACAAAATACTATTCCCACTATTTGCTTAGGAATCCATAACCTTTGAAAACTGCTCATTGGCTTTTTAAAGTCAACCTGAAATATAAAAGCACTGGAAGCTTACCAGTCAAAAGCTAAAGTTACGTTGGTTACATGTTACATTAAAACATACCTTTTAAGAAAAACTGACTTTAAAAACACTGTATTGTTAACTTGAAATAATTTCAAAAATTAAGTAAAAATGCACTACTTTCCAATCTTTCAACACGTTTTGGTTTAAAATGCCCTACTTTATGAAACCATTCCTTAAGATATTCCCAACTTCCAGCAAAATAATTTGAAGCTGTTTTTAAATCTGATAGCATCTAAAGAAATGGGTCAGCATGCCTGGAAAATTGGCTATCCACCACAGAACGACATATTTATGTTTCCACCATGAAAACATCACTACAAAATCCACTGGATGAATTCTGTTTTTAGCTTTATGTAAATATCAAAAAACTTATTTAACAGTGCCATACAAATATTTAGTGTTTTTGGCCTTGAAATCAGCAATGCTACCAATAAATCTGACACAGGCAAGTTTCACAAAAGGCAAAAGAAGAAAAAGATTTGGAAACAGTTGGTTGGGAAGGAAATAAAAGCACCCACCAGATTAATTAGAATTAATCCTCAAAAGATGGCATCCTTGATCACCATCACCATCACGTTTGCGAGTACTCAGACAAGACTAATACTTGTGTTTTTAATGCTCAGAACCTTCTAAGCTTTCAAATAGACCACAGGCCAGACCATTTCCTACTAAGAAACTGAAAACGCACTTATGCCGAGTTCTGATAAGGTCAGCTACAAAAGCACTGCAACAGGAAAAAGAACAGAAACGCTACCACACAAGTATTTGTGTTAACAACCATTTCTCTTGCCTCTCTTACTGGCCTCAGAAATATGCACTATGTGAGGTACTGGAGGAAGACGAGTGCAGGGCGGAAAAACACTTTAAACAAAGTGTGTAAAATTTTCAGATTGGCCATCAGTGATTTATTTCTACTTTTCTAAGAGTTAAAACACGGTATAGTGTAAGCTATTAATATGCTCTGGGTATATTTCCCAAGCAAGTTAAGCAGAACATTCCTTAAAATACTCTTTAAAAAGACATCCATGAAGCATAAATATTCATAAATAATGCCAACATGTACACCTTTACATGGATTAATTTGTAGATGACCCTTGCAGACTTGGGGGGTTATATCAACCATCATTCTCAATACTGACACAGTAGGAGGTTCACTGGCCTGCTTAGTTTATCTAAACCTAAGACATCCACTACAAAGCGGGCTCCACGGCTCAAAATATCTGACTACGAAAGAGCTAATTCAAATATCCTCCCAGTACACAGAAAGATTTTTTCTTCTAACTGATGAGCATTTTCATGTGATATTTAACTAGTACGAAGCATCAAAATCGACGCTCGAAACTTGTGTCACTGCTCTGTTAATCAGTATAATCACATAAAAACAGAACACTGCATCCAGTAAGAGAACGAAGACAGCAAGACTGCCCACTCTCAGCTGCCGGGGACCTCCCCCAGCAAATATTTAAAAGTAAAGTCATGCCCTATACATAAATTCCCTTTTAATACATCCAAAGGGCTACAATGACACCAGAGGTGTCCATCCCCTTGGGGCAGAGCAAGTGAACGGTTAATCAACAGACAAAACCATCGGCGTGGAGTATGAGGTATCAAACAAAATCACACACCAACTTATCATAGAGGTGATATTCCGTAATGGCTAGTTCTTGAGAAACAAAGGTTTAAAACATAAAAAGAACTTGGATGAATAACATCAGCTGGCTTTGCCATTCGTTCTTGTATAAAGCAGGAGACACTAAACAGGAAGGTTCTTTCCCAGTAAACGCCCAGTCCAAAGTTCAGCGACGACAAACATGGGAACCTGGCAAGAATCACTTGATAGTAAAGCAGGCATTTTCACCCACTCTTTCATTTTTTCCCTCAGTACCCAGTACCTCTGAGGCCTTGTCACGGAACTGTCTGTGAAGTATTTCCTCCACAACGCATGCCTTGGGCGTGAAGTCCCCCTGTACAAAAGGAGTGACCAATCTTTCTCTTCTTCAAGAAGACAGCTCCTGGATTCCCAAATTCCTACTCTACAGTCCTGAATAGGGTGCCCCCAAAATGTTATCTCACAGAGGATAACTATTTTAACAGTATAAGAATCAGAACTGAGTTCCCCAATAAATTACTGCTCTCCTAGAAAGAAAAATAAATTTACAGACTATTTTGGGGGTCTAACCTAAGATACCATCAATTGTAAGATGCACCATATGTCTAAGAAAAAACACAGGCAATTAAACTATGACACAATGCCTTTGTAGCCTGTAGAATGTTTATTCTATATTTACTGAAACAGAGCTTTTAGAGTTAAGCAGAGTTTGATCACGTCAGTCTTGTGCATACGTCAAGAAAGCGTACGAAAGAAGTTGGTTAAGTTATAACTGTAACTTCTGAATCACTCAGACCACAGCCACGGATGTCTGCACTCCTCCAGACCACAGCACCCTTGGTGTCACCAAGAGCACTGGTGACACAGCACCTCTTACAACAGTGCTCTGCCATGTCTTCTGCTGAATGTCAGCAGGACGCTTTGGCCAAAACGATGTTTGACGCCTTAACGACAGTCCTGCTTGAAGCATGAGTCGATCATACCAGCCTCTCATTGCTCTGAATTTTGCTTCATCTATTCCGAGGGTTTTGGCAATTTCTCCCGCCTTCAGCTGCACTGCTTGGCGTGTGATTGGCAGTCCTTTGGCTCGTGTCTCCCTGACAAAATGCAGTACCGCTTCGCCTGCCTGTGGGTATCTTCCTTTCTTCAGTCCCGTAAAGCACTCTGTCGTTTCTTTACAAGAAAATAGGGAGTTTCGGTCACTCCTCCAGCGACGGATATTTGCTTCACTGATGTCACATGTATACCCAGCTGCCCTGTTCCCATGCTTTTCTACATACAAGGTAACTTTTCGTTTCAATGCTGAGTCATAGTGTAATCTTTCTGAAGACATTTTTAAAAGTCAATTAAACCCGACACATGCGACATCAACGCTACAGCAATGACGCCTGGCAAGCTCACACACGTGCAGGTGAGGAGAACCGTGTCGTGACTGCTGCCTGGCTGGCGGTGGTCGTGAGGCGCGGCCTGATTTCAGACAAAGGAAAAAGGGGGGTGAGGGGCACAGCACAGAACTAACAAAATATGGTTGTTCAAGCCTGTTCTGTTTACCAGATTAACACCAGTGCGAGAAAATAAGCGCCAGAGCAAGTGCAGGCGCAGAAGTATACAATCAGGATATTATCTTTATGATGAAATTGGCAATCGTCCAATTTGGTTTAATTCCCTTTATTTTCATATGGCTTACATGCCAATCTTTTTTTGAATTGGACTTAAAATCCAAGAACGAATGTCCTTCAAACTTTCAGCAAATTGCAAAGCCAGGTCATTAGAAAGAGAAACTCCCAGTGCCTTTCGTCAGGAACTAACACAGGACCACGGCTGGGGTCAGTGGCCCTCGTCAGCAGGTGCCCTCCTCTGGCGAGCAGATCTGATCCTGTGTGGAGACGATAAAGCATCTTCTTCCGTTTCAGACCCTGAAGGTTCATGATCTCCCTCCTGGGATCCTGTGTCTCCCACCAGTTCCCGAAGAAACTTGAATTTTGATAAAAAAAGATGCCAAACAAAATACCAACCTAAAAAGAGACAACAAATATTAAGAAAAATTACACACAGGATTATCAATTGAGAACATTTCAGTTAATCATGCATGGAGGAGTTATATGACAAAACAGTAGCATAATTTAAATATATATGTGATTACATAAGAGTTCTTTATATATTCTTTGTTTGTTTGTTTTGTTTTTTTCTTCTTTATATACTCTTGATACTAGGTGCTTATCAATGTATGATTTGCAAACATCTTTTCCCATTCTGTGGGCTGTCTTTTCACTGTCTTATGAATGTTCTTTGAAGTACAAAAGTTTCTAATTATGATGGAGCCTAATTTGTCATTTTTCTTTTTATGAAATCCAATTTATCTTGTTTCTTCTTTGGTTGCTTGTGCTTTATCATGTCATATCTAGAGAAACACTAACACAAGGCCGTGAAGATTTAAGCCTATGCATTCTTCTAAGAGTTTCAGTTTTAGCTCCTACATGTAGGTCTTTGGTCCATTTTAGTCAACTCTGTGTGAGAGAGAGACCCAAATTATTTCTTTTGAATACCAAGCTGTTCCAGAACTATTTGTTGAAAAGATGGCTCTTCCCTCTATTAAATTGTCTTGGCATCTTTGTCAAAACTCAAGTGATCATAAATGCTTTTATTTCTGGACCCTCAATTCTATTCCCTGGTCTGTCTGTCCTCATCCCACACATCTTGATTACAGCAGCTTTGTATTAAGTTTTAAATCAAGAGTGTAAGTTCACCAACTTTGTTCTCTTCAAGACTGTTCTGGCTATTTTGAGTTCCTTACAGTCCTATGTGCATTTTATAATTATCTTGTCAATTTTGGCAAAAAAAAAAATCGCAGCTATCATTTTGATAGGGAATGTACTGAATCTGCAGATCAACGTGGGGACCTACACTTTTTTTGGATACTTCTCTGTACATATCAATTTTTCCACAATGGACATACATGGTTTTAATGATCAGAAAAATCAGGAGAAAAACAAGTCAGAAACTGGTGAGTAAACTATGAGTATTCTGTAGATGTAGATATTTTAAATACCACAATGCCATGAATTGGCCTAAGTTAATAAGCCCAGTTGATTTTAAACAGATACTAAGGAAAACTCCTAACTCTTAGGTTACTTTTGAGAATTCAGCCTAAAAGTTAAAAGAACTCATTTTCCCAAGGTACTGTGCTGAAGAGATTATGGAGGTGAACTTACCATCAGGGAATCATAAATGAGATGATGGTAGTCTTGACCTCATAAAGGTCAAAGGTTCCAACGATGGCTACTTGGTATAAAATGACCGTAAATTTAGAAAACTCAAGGGAGGCTACTGAAGTCCTTTGACTGAAAAGAGACTATTGTGAAGGGCTGTCACCAGTGCGGTTCCCACCAAAAAACACTAGTGTCCTTGGGATGCTTAAGAGAAAGCAAAGTCTCCCAGCACAGAATCTACAAAATAAGGGACTCGAGACTGCTTCAGCAGTCAGTTTGGGGAGATTTAATAAGGGCATTCAGTTAGGTTGCAAACTCTGTCTTCTCCAATTTTAATAAAACAGATCCAAAAAAAGATTAAAAAAAAAAAGTTGCCAGCAACCAAACAGTGTAAGGAATTCAATCTGAAGTCAAAATTCCGAACATGGTGGCCAAATGGAAAACTCCAGAGTCTGGAGTAGCAAGTTACAGCCACCACCTCCCGTCCACTCCCCTCCCACAGCTAAACCACTCGACTTCACACCTCTTCCATTTTTTACGCCCCAAATCTGCAGATAAGCAAACTAGAAAAGTCTGCTTACTCTTCCCGACTCTGCCCGGGTGTAAGATGTGTGAGGGCTGGAGGCGGAGGCGTGTGTGGTAGGTGACACTGCTTCTCCCCAAAAACCGTCAGGCAGAGAATCCCCCTAATATAGATACGGAACTCACATGCCGCACAGCCCAGAGGACAAATATCCCCCGTGCTTGGTTTTTCACAACAGCTACTGTCATGAGAGGGTGGGAATGCAAAACGAAGAGGGAAACTGTAGTGGTGACAAGAACCGCAGTGGCAGTCGCCAAATTCAGGGAGGTTCGACACGTTATCCCCGCAGTCAGATGACCCAGTTCTTACGCAGCTGTAATTCCGGGGAGACGGGAGGAGGGTGCGGGGCAGAGGCGTCTCCGCATCACTGGTACTTGGAACTGGTGAGATCTCCTGCTCCTCCTACAGCTGAGGTTTATCAACGAGCGTTAACAGTCTGAATATGGGACGACACTAAAAACACCAGGCAGTCTGAAGGGAAAAACAACTACACAGGACATTTTGGGAAAAGAGCCATTATTAAAACCCCAGTGGGTACAAACCAGGGAAAGCATGACTTAGCAAAGAAGAAACGAAGAGAGAGACGACAATGCCAGATACAGCTGCTAACACTCACCGGCTGCGTTCACAGACGTGGAAACAAAGTTAGCTAACTTTTTTTTCTAATTTTGGGACAGGTAACATGAGGACGTGTTTTGCACATGTTTAATGGCCAAACTGTTATTCAATATAAACTGTCTTGTCATGTACTTCCTGTATATGTCACATTCCTGCAGGTGACTCACAGGGCCCCACCTATTCATCTATAGTTTTACTTCTACTGATCTTATGATAAATACGGTACAAAGTCGAAAGTCACATACATAGTTCATCCCCTGCTATTTTAACAAAGCAACTTTTAATTTGAGTAACTGAAACCCTAAGACTAAGCTTAAGCAGAAAGGGGGAGTTTGTTACTCACTTACAGGAGAGGCTCACAGAGCACATGACACGAGGGGCGAGGACTAGGAGGCAGCCTTGGTGACCTGAGGTCACTCTCTCGGCACTACCTGCTTCTCTCTGCACCCTTGTCTCATGGCCTCCTAGGTTTGTCTTGCACATAGTTGCTTCTTCCCAGCTTTCTATGATTTCATGGTTATCTTCAAAAAACAGCTTAGAATCTCTGTCCCAACCTGGGCCAAGCGTCAGCCCGAGGCCAGTGTGCATCACCTGGGGCAGCAGGTTCAGTGAAAGTGGCTGTGGGGCTACCCGTGAGAGTTCAGGGCTGATTTTTGAGGTGGAAGGTTGTGCACAGGGCAGGAGAGGAGAAAGAGCTCCTATAAAGATGTCGCCTCTACATTTATTAGGCAGTAGGCTCCTGGAGGAAGGTCTTCACTACAGGAGTCACTCCCACAAAAACCGCCCATGAGCTGGGCAGGCAATTCTTTTATTAGATAAAGTCTAACCAAAACCTTTGATTGGTTTGTATCTTTGGGGGAGAGCAGGAGAGGAGCAAGAATAACCACTAAAACTTGGGCTATCTCTGACTGAAAGGGACTTACCCCCTCCCTGCATGCCCACAGGACCTCTTCGGGAAGTATCGTGTACGGCTCACACACGTCCTCGCCCCAAACCCAATACACAGACACCAGAAACGCCTTACCTACTCCTACTCTAGGGAGTGTGTGTCTTGTGCCTTGTCCTGGGCTT